GGTCTATTTATTTTCACTTATTAAGTGAATTAGTTACACTATAAAAATAGTTTTTTTACTGTGGCTCAGTGGTTAACACAGGCACCTCACAGCAAGAAGGTCACTGGTTCAAGCTCTAGCTGGGCCAGTTGGCATTTCTATGTGGAGTTTTGCATGTTCTCCCCGTGGGTTTCTTCCAGGTGCTCCAGTTTCCCCCACAGTACAAAGACATTCGCTATAGGTGAATTGAATAAGCTAAATTGGCCATAGTGTATGACTGTGTGTAAATGTGAGAGTGTGTTTCGCAGTTCTAAGTTGCAGCTGAAAAGGGATCAGTTGGCAGTTAATTCTGCTGTGGCTACTCCTGATAAATAAAGAGACTAAGCTAAAGGAAAATTAATAAATGAATGAAGTTGCATTTAAAATAATGTATCATGAAGTATTTTTACAAGAAAATACAGATTTACAAGTAACGTAACTACTATTTTTTTCATAACTACCTGCATTTTATTGGCTTCATTCTGTGAAGAACAAACAGGGAAAATGCACAAGGAATTTTTTAAAGCCAGTTCAAGAACTTCAAGTGAACTTTTATGCCATTATAAAATCCTTGCATTTAAGATCTAGTTTCTTTAAGTGGGTCTCAGACTGGACGGGAAGCACAGCATTCAATTCCATGTCTTTAAAATATGGAAATTTATTTTACCACAGTATATGTAATGTTTTAGTGCTCTCCTGCTGCTCCGAATGGCGCTTGTGTTTAAACGCTCTTTCGTCTCATTTTACACTTGAACAACTAAATGAAGGCTTAAGTTAATTTATTATACTTTTATTAAATTATATTATCAATGTTGTAAAAGGAACCCTATGAAAACAGTCACATTTACAGTTCACCAGAAGTTAGTGGATAGCACAACTGCCTCACAGCAAGAAGGTCACTGGTTTGAGCCTCGACTGGGTCAGTTGGCATTTCTGTGTGGAGTTTGCATGTTCTCCCCATGTTTGCGTGGGTTTCCTCTGGGTGCTCCGGTTTTCCCCACAAGTCCAAAGACAACTGGGTAAACTAAATTGGTCGTAGTGTATGTGTGTGAATGAGTGTGTATGGATGTTTCCCAGTGATGGGTTGCAGCTGGAAGGGCATCCGCTGTGTAAAACATAGGCTGGATAAGTTGTCAGTTTATTCCGCTGTGGCAACCCCAGATTATTAAAGGGACTAAGGCGAAAATAATATTACTTTACACTATTTAAAAACAAAAAGCTAAAAGTGGAAAGATTATGTGACCCAGTCTTAAACTGAATGTATTTGTGGAAAAATATAGATTTTCTTCATGCCGTAAATGATTAAATAAACATCATAAAGATATTAGTAAAATGCATTGCTATAATATATTGATAAAGTCACATTTAGAGTTCTTCAGATTAGGTACTAATATTTTGATTATGTTTAACCTTCAGATGCCAGTTGTTCAAATAGCTGTATCTCGGTCAAATATTGTTTTAACAAACCATACTCTCAGCTTTCAGGTGTATAAATCTTAATTTAATTAATTTTGCGGTCCAAGTTCACACATGCTTAAACTCACTTGTGAAAAGCGAAGGCCTTCTTCGAAACCACTGTAGATGTAAACGCTTCCAGCTGAGCCTGTTTCCAGAGGAGCACCTACTGCTACATCATTAAACTTGTTGTTATCAATGTCTCCAATAGAGCCAATGGCTGCACCAAACCTGGCAAAGGTCTGTCCTGCATCACCCCGCAGCTCCACGGGCGCACGTTCAAACCTGTCCTCCTTAGAGAAAAACAAGACCGTTAGCTATTATTCATGCTAATGCAGTCACACATAAAACAATAGTCTTACTTGATTCAGTTTGTACACTAGCACTTTGCCTTCTTCCCCATTCAGATGGAAATGTGGAGCTCCAACTAATAGATGATCTGTGTAATCATCCTTATTAATATCCAAGGCACAAAGAACCGATCCAAAGTAAGATCCAACCTAAACATCATTTATTGATTATCACATTTACATTTGCAAACACGGGCTTGCTTTTATTGTGAATGTATACTCTGTATGCCATTTAAAGAGTTCATTTTAGTGAATGTACAATTGAAGACAAAATTATTAGCACAGTTATCATTATATTGCAAAAATGTCTAATTATTTGTTTTCTCTTTGCCATGATACAGTACATATTACGGTAATATAATATTGTACTAGTAATTTAGTAAGATATTCACTGTAGTGCAGTTTAAAGACTTAAACAGGCTTGTTAGATTTACTAGAGAATCTTATTTAATAGGTTAATTTCAATAAAATTCATAAAATTTCATAGGAGGATTAAGTTTTTGTCATTAACTGTGTATATATAAAATAAAACCGTTTGAAAATGAAAGTAGTCGGATATGTAAATAATAATTAACTAAAAATACCTGATCTCCGTGAAGCACATACTTTTCTAAGTCATCAAATATGAATACTCCACCAGTCAAATTATACCGTGGTGCACCAGAAATGTAGAGAGTCTTAGAAGGCAAATGAGCTGAAGTGACACTGTAACCTGTGATCAGAAAAGAGATTCATCAATTATGTACTTTCATTTACTTTTAAATAGATTAATTTAATTTATTTAGATCAGTGGTCAGCAAACTTGTTCCTGGAGGGCCGGTGTCCTGCACATTTTAGCTCCAACCCTAATCAAACACACCTGAACAAGCTAATCAAGGTCTTGCTAGGTATACTTGAAACATCCAGGCAGGTGTGTTGAGGCAAGTTGGAGCTAAACCCTGCAGGGACACCGGCCCTCCAGGACCGAGATTGGTGACCCCTGATTTAGATGTTCAATATCAATGAAAACAACTAAACTGAATATATTAATGTGGTCAGCATATATATATTTGAACCTTTTTAATAAAATAAAAAACAAACTTCTAAACTTATGTATCTTTAAACTAAATATGCTGCGTTTTTTTGCATTCTTTGTCTGTTTGGATGATTTGCATTATAAAGAAAACATATAACCATAAATCAGAGTTATGAGGAATGAGATAAAGCAAAAATATTTGATTTCTTAATTGTCTTTAAAGGTCCCTTGAAATTAAAAAGGTTTTTTGATGCTAGTATCAGTATTGTTAGTTTTTAAGATATCTATTAGCTAGTCTGCTCCAAAACATTTAGAAGATATAACACTGATATAAACATGTCACATCATACCTCATATTTACGTCACCTCATCGTCAGTTTCTCCTTAAGTCATAACTAATCAAATGCTCTCTAGTATCTGACATGCCCCACCCCCTTCAAGACGCTTTTCATTTGCTTTTTATTTGATGCGATTGATCTCAACCCCTCTCACGGCTGAGCGGTGATTAAAAAAAAAATGTAAAGGGGAGGAGCTACACTATGTGCTTCTCTTCATGTTTTGGTTGAGATTACGTCAAACATCAAATAAAAATGCACATTTCAAAGCACCTCACAGGACCTTTAACCTTTATTTTAATGAACAGAATTGGGAATAAAAGATTTCTAATGTTAAAAATACATTTAGATTTTAATGGCGACAAAAACATTGGGACAAAGGCATGTTTAACAGTGTTTCACATCATCTTTACTTTTGAAAACATTAAAAGAACATCTTTACTCTTAATCACTTGGAAATATACTGTATATCATCACTCACCTAAATATCCAAATTTGGTTTCATTGTGAGAATCATTCAAGAATTTAACCGTGTTGCCGGATTTTAAAAAGACCCCACCACTCCAGTCATAAGCTCCAACAGCTCCAAATAGTGCTTCAACCTTCTGCTCCTGTACAAAAACAAAACAATGTTAACAGTATGTGAATCATCATGAAAAGACGCTGCGGATATAAATATACTGTATATATATATATATATATATATATATATAAGATTTAACATACAGTGTCAGAAAGAAAGAGTTCAAGTTCATGATGAAAACAAACCAGAAAGTCTTTTGAAACGATCATACTTACGTTGTATAAGAGATGGGAGCTGAATCCAGCTTCAGCGAGCTGTAATTCAAATCCCTGTTGAGTTCCTGACACATAAAGTTTATTGACAAACAATAATGATACAGTGACTATTCAATTACAAATATCATCTGAAGTCATGTGAATTGTGAGAGGCTATTGCCCATGTGTGCACTCTAGACAGATATTCAGTTTGCACTGTAGTGGTTGGGATTTTTTTTAGTGGCTAAAGGGTTATTATTCAGTGTAATGTGTACATTCCATACCTTCAGTTCCAATTATCCCTCTTTCCAATGAGGACAGAATATCATTTAATGCGCCATAACTGGAAACATTATAATACTTTCCAGGATCTGCTATTTGCATCATCTCCTTGATTGCATTAGGTTTTTTCAGGATGCCATCGCCAACCTAAAGGTAACATGAGGATGTAAGTGTATGGAACTTATGATACATTTTTACATTTAAACTACAATTGCAATTAACTACAAAAAAGCTTAAAAGTGTTTAAGCAGGACTTAAAGTGAACCAGAGTTATCTATGAAATCAGATGACTTTTCTGCAGTTAAAAATGGGACACTTACCCCTATGGAGTAGCGAGTGACACCTTTCATTTGGGTCTTGTTCAAAACTTCATCAAGAGTCATAGAGTCTCCCAGAATCTCTCCATCAGACAAGACGATTATTATTTTTTCAGAATTATTTTTTGATCCATTCTCAGGGATGAAGATATCTGTGCTGTAATCAAACACAACATTGTAAAATCACACCATTAAGTCATCTCCAAATGCTGTAAAAATTGTTTGTAGACTCACAGGACGTGATTGATGGCAGAGGCCGTCTTTGTGAGATTGTAAATTTGCTTTATTTGTTCCACCTTTTGCAGGGATCTGGCACCATTCTCATTGTCTAGAAGCGAGAGTTCAGTCCTGATCGAGCTACCATATTGCACTATTGCAAAATTGCACTGCAAAGAGAAGAGGGGTTAATGTAAAATGACATTTCAATTATAATTTTGTGTTATGAAATTATTTAAAAAAAAATACTTGCATCAAAACATGTTTTCCAAACATTGGACATGGTGGTGTGGATGAATTCTTTCGCCTTCTCAAAGTCATCATACTGAATGCTGCCAGAACCATCCAGCACGAATGCAATCTCTGTCCCAGGATCTAAAAAGATGTTCTGAAACTTCAGTACTGAAGTAAGGTTTAAAGCCTTTAACCATTGACTTCCATAGTCAACAGGTTTTCAGCTTTCTTCAAAATATTTTTGTTGTGTTAAGCAGAAAAAAAGTAACTCATAAATGTTTGGAACCGCTTGAGGATTAAAAAACGGTGAGTAAATTTTCATTTTTGGGTACTTTATCCCTTTAAGCACAAAGCACCTTTTATTAATACATTGTATTTAATGCAGAACCATGATGTAGAAAGATGTCTTGATGTAAAAGCATGTAAATGATATGTGATATATATATATATATATATATATATATATATATATATATATATATATATATATATATATATATACACACACACACATTCATCTAAACTAAAGAATACTGAAAGATAAATAAAATTATATTTGAGGTGTATAACGGTCACTTCTCACCCCAAAGTTTATCTTTTCCTGTGTATTGTTATTTGTCTATTACTTTACTGTATTAATTTTGTTTTATTTTATTTATTAATTTTTTTATGTATTTTCATTTAATGCAAACCCTGGCTTGTATTTAGTTGTTGCTAGCTATGTATGCTGGCTTTGTTTTGCAAAAAATAAATGATCACAAAAAAATTATACCTTCTTCCTCTTCCTCCTCCTCCTCCTCTAATGCGCCAAGATTCGGTTGCGCTTCTCTTCTCTTCCTCCATTTAACTTGAAGATATTGACAGAAATGTAAATTAGCAGAGCAGAATATACATGTATAATAGCCTTCCTGGCTCAGTCTGGCAAATTTTATATGTTCTTTTACCCCCATAAATTATGAATGCTCATTATCATAAATGAATTTAACATTATCAACATTTTCCTTAAGACAGTCTCACCTTGATCGATCCTTCCACCTCTGTATTTGTTGTTGTTGTTGTTGTTGTTGTTGTTGTTGTTGTTGTTGTTGTTGTTGTTGTTGTTGTTGTTGTTGTTGTTGTTGTCCATGTTGTTGTCTTGGAAAAAGAGATTTAGGAATTTCAGGTATAAGATTTTATCTTGTTGAATGTGAAGACCCCATAATAAATGAACCAAACATACCTAATTCAGCAGGAGATAGCTTGACTTTTCCAGAAGGACTCATAAGTGTGCAATTTCCATTCAAATACTCAGTTCCTCTGCTCTTTGTTCTAACTTGATTACACATCTTGAAAGAGGAAAACAAAAACTCAATTACAGTTATTTCACTCAAGTCATTTACTTTCATATTCGACTAAAATAAATATTAAACAGTAGATATAGAGGACTTTTTTTTCTGTTTTTACATTTCAAATTTTTAATGAGGAAGTGCTGTCACTATGGTTTCTAATGATGTCACGGTTATGACTCAAAACATTGATGACTTCCTCATGATAGTCACATCATCCTGAACAATTTCCCAACGTCTCAACAAATAAAACTAATAACATTCCCCTGAAATAACATTTTCTCATTTTAGTTTACGTTACACGCACTATTTTTCCTGCTTTCAAAACGACTGTTTCCTGTACTGTGAACGAGAACTGATACATTTCAGTCTGTCACGTATGTGAAGAGGAAACCACACTTTGTGGTTTTACTGAAAAAAATGCTTTGCGACAGACACAAAACCTTGCGAACGCTATCTGATAATGCACAGTTTACTTCTCATTTGGTATATTTCAGTAGCTAAACCTTTTGCAAGTAAAATCTCATATTATAAGTAAGTTGTCCTCCAATTATATAAGACCTCCTAGTGTTTGTACATACCACAACATGTTGGTCTTGTGATGTCAGGCTAGCCACTGATGCTACTGGTCTCATGCCTTTTGGGTTCTCATCTTTAAAAGAGACATTCATGTAAAACATTATTTCATGTACTGGAAGTTAGTTCAAAATTTAAAAAAAATTTAATTCTGTCATCATTTTTTTTCACTTGTTCCAAACCTGTTTGAGTTTTTTTCAGTTGAGCACAAAGGAAGAGATACTGAAGTATGTTTGACACAACAACCATTAAACAGCAGCTTTTTTTTTTTTTTTTTTTACAATATTTTTCACTAATATATATATATTCTTGTGTTCAACAGAAGAAATTCATAACAGTTATGAGTGTGAATAAATGATGAGGGAATTGTGATTTTGTTTTTAAGTTAACCATTTATTAAATTCCGTAAATCAGTGATAACATTATTATTATTATATTTCCAAAGTTTACTACGTATTATATATTATAAAAATATAAAAGCTAAGATAAACTTACCGTTAATGTTTACTTTGGTGCATTCATTTTCTAGAGTACACTCAAAAAGGCCTCCATATATCGGGGAGGGAACAAAAATCCTAGAACAGAAAAAAGCAGTAACATGTTACTGAAACAGAACACATCTAAAATAAAATTAAATAAAAGTATATGTCTAGAATTACCAACCCATCTTTTGACTGAATGATGGTTTGGCCAAAGAGTGGATCCTCATTGGTAAAATGTTTCACTGGAGATATCTGAACGTTAAACCCGGTTGCATTGCACAATACTGTAAAACACCAAATAATGAGTGGAAACACAATTCAGAACGAAGCAGCAAAGATTCATTTCATTTATTATGATTTAATCAGCTATTTTTTACCTATTAGTTTAAAACAAACAAAATGTTGTAAAAAAATCTATCACAAACACAAATATAGATATTTAACCCTGTAAATGAATACATACCCATCATAAATAGCAGTTTTCGGTACATTGTGTGAAATTAATCAATATCCGCTTTAAAAAAAACACATCGGCACATCGAGACACAAAGCAGCTTGCTGTGGTCTTGAGAAAGTAGAACAGCACACATGCTCTGCTGACTGTTAAACCCTCCCCTTCCACACACTTGCTTCTCTCGTGGGAAGCTGAATTCAAAATGATTCAATTTTCACGCTAAAATTTGAAAACATCTTTATTTTTAAAAACTGTTTTGATTTAGTAATAGGGAATAGTTCACACAAAAGTTACAATTCGGTCATCATTTTCTCTCCCTTCACTTGTTTTATATATCGGTTTGAGTTTCTTTTTCTCTTGAACATAAAAGGTTTATTTTTTTACCACACTTCACCACCGGGTATCATAGAGTTTCAATCAGTGACCATAAAAGAGAATCCCCGATTACCGTGTATGTTTTGAAGAATATGAAATATTCATTCATTCATTCATTCATTCATTCATTCATTCATTCATTCATTCATTCATTCATTCATTCATTCATTCATTCATACATTCATTCATTTAAAAAGAGTTCTAACAGATGTCTAATAGACGTCTAAACAGTCGTCTTGGCTAAAACAAGGCTAAATTTGGGCTGTCAGTGAAAACCTATTAGACGTCTTATGAATAGGCCAAAACTAGTCATCAAATAGACAGAAATTAATGACTACACACATAAAGTCTGTCTAATCTGTCTATTTGACAACTAGTCTAGTTTTTGGCTGTTCTTAGACTTCTATTAGATTTTCGCTGCCTTGTTTTAGCCTTGCTTTAGTCTACGTTTAGATGTCTTAAACACCAAATTATTTTGCTGGGTTGACAATGTTTTTTGAAGAACACTTTTGTCTTCCTTGCTTTAGTAGAACTGCGGCCTTAGAAAAGTGAGATGCCTATTTATAATCTTGCCTGCTATCAAGTACTCAGTAGTTTGCAAAGGTTATATACCGCAATATCAGAGAAAACATCTGACTTTGCCTCAGGATGTGGTGTGCATAAAAACCTGCAACTAATTCACCATCAGCCCTCGGTTTTTAAACTGACCTCAAAGTTTTTTTTTTAAATGACTTAGCTCAATAATGATTATAACTAGTTATGGCATTGAAAGAGCGCTGAAAACAGACTGACCACCGCTGGGACTTTTCACTGTGTTTGCTGATTGCAGACTGCCAGTGACTTGCTGTTACTCACATTATTACGAATTGAAGGTGTCCATTGGTGCATATGTAACGGAGGCCAGCTAGTGTGTGCTGTGCAGGTAAACCTCACTCCTCTGACTTCTAAAGGTGCTCTAGCGATAAACGCTAGAGGCCATGGTCTTTAGCCTCCTTGGTATAAGACTCCCATGCAGAAGATCGCTGGTTCGATACCAGCTTGCAGCGGGTTGGGTGGTGTAGGACCGGCGGGGTAACATTGGTGCTGTGACCTGGATGGGAGTGAGGTTTAGGGGGGTGACTGTAGTGGAGGCCAGCCGTAAGGGGCTGTGCAGGTACACCTCACTCCTCTGACCTCTAAAGGTGCTCTAGCGACAGATGCTAAAGGGCCTGGTCTTTAGCCTCCTTGGTAGAGCAACCTACTCCCACGTGGAAGGTCACCGGTTAAATCCCAGCTCGGAGCGGGTTGGGCGTTGTAGGACCGGTGGGGTTATGCATATACAGTTTTTCCTGCACTGTTGATTGGAGAAGGGTTTATTTCCCATTTAGACTTAATTAAAGGAGCCGTCTAATAAGTTTTTGAAGCAGTAATTGTGTTTATGGGATGCACATTAACATGTGTTGATGCTTCACTGTAAATAAAAAAAACATTGTTTTTCACATATTTGCCCATCTTGTACACTGCTTTTTAATTAGCATCAAAGCAGCTGACTTATTTCCTGGCTCTATAAAGACCCTGCCTCAGTGGATTCTGATTGATTTGCTGACTGTATAGGTTGTGATTTGCTGATCCGTGCTTGTTATCCAGAAATGTCACACCTCCAACCACAGTGGGGTTCATGCCCAAATTTGTATTACACTTGCATAGATTAGGTTACCTTTTTTATTGAACTATTTTCTAGCTATTTTTAAAAACTATTTTAACTGTTATCACCATGAATATATGCTGAAATGGCAATTACAAGTAATTGTCACCGACTCGGTCCCAGTCATTCCCCTCGCTGACCAGCAGAGGTCACCATCTCCGGACTTCTAACCATTACGTCATCCATTTCACTCAGATCCCAGCACACCTGTTCTCCATCTCACTAATGACCCACGTACCACATATAAGCAGCTCACACACACACTTCATTGCGAAGTCTTGTTTAGCCCCGGCCAGCATTTCTGAGCGTTCTATCCTGCCTGGTCTCCCGTTGACCACTTCAGCCCGTTTCTCGACTCTGCTCTGTCTTCTGCCTGCACTTGACCCAAGCCTGCTTACACGGACTCTGATTCTCGCTGCCTGCCCCTGACTAAAGCCTGTAACACGGACTCTGAATCATGCTGCCTGCCCTTGACTCAAGCCTGGTAATCACTCTGCCTCTTTTATCTGCTAATCATCGTTGAGTTGTATGTTGTATGTTCGCACAGCCGTGCGAGGTGTTGATGTTTAAGTGTGACTTAATAAATACTGCAAAATGGATCCCTCCGTGTCAGTCTCCCCGTTACAGAAGACTTCGCCCAACACGGATCCCGCAGCCATCCAGGTTTTGTCTCACGAAGTCACAACACAAGCTCAGGTATTGTCAACACACCAACAACAACTAACACACCTAACTCAGTTAACAGACGAACTGGTGAAATCCCTCCAAAACCTGCAAGCTGCTGCCACTGCGCAACCCACCGCCAACTACTCTCCAAGTCCACTTGTTGTTGCACAAACCCCGATGACTTCCGGAGTTCGATTGGCTTTTCCTGACAAGTTCTCAGGTAACCCAGCAAAATGTAAAGGCTTCCTACTGCAATGTAAACTGTTTATCGCCCAACAACCCCATCTGTTTAAGGACGAGAACGGGAAAATTGCTTTTGTGTGCTCACTGCTCACTGGGAAAGCGCTAGACTGGGCTACTGCAGTTTGGCCAGACAGTACCCCGATATTTCCCTCGTTTAATGACTTTCTCAAACGTTTCTGCACTGTGTTCGATCATCCGGAGGGTGGTCGTAACGCTGGCGAGGAGCTATTGCGCATCCAACAGGGAGATCGCTCCGCAGCTGAGTTCGCCCTGCAGTTCCGCACCTTGGCAGCGCAAACTGGCTGGGCTGATGATCCGCTTGTCACGCTCTACAGAAAGGCTCTAAGACCAGAGTTGCAGCGAGAGATGGCATGTCGTGACGAGGGAAAAACACTGGATCAACTAATCGAGCTTTCCATAAGGTTAGACACTCTCCTCCGCACTCGCAATCCGCTGTGCTCAATTGCTTCCAGTCCTGTATCCCCTGAAACCTCCGCTGAACCCATGCAATTGGGTAGAGCCCGCCTGAACCCAGAAGAGCGAGAACGACGGAGAAGAAATCACCTGTGCATTTACTGCGGACTTCCAGGTCATACGAAGGTTTTATGTCCCAACAAGCCTCTCCCTAAAACCCTCTCGGTGAGTGCAACCACTATGTTCACTACCACTAATAATGTTGTGAATCTGCCTGTCACTTTGAGAAACGATGGAGATGAGATTGAGACTATGGCCATGATCGATTCAGGAGCCGCTGGTAACTTTATTGATTACACGTTTGCCACCACTCACTCCATTCCTTTAAGCTCTTGTGATTCCTCCATAGCCATCACTGCTGTAGATGGGCGCCCTTTGGGAGAAGGACGTATAAAATTCCAGACCCTGCCAATCTTGCTTCAAACAGGCTCTCTCCATGAAGAGGAAATCTCCCTTCTTGTCATCAACTCCCCTAAACACTCTGTAATTCTTGGGTTACCATGGCTACAACAGCATGACCCTCAAGTCTCTTGGAGAACTGGTGAGATCACAAAATGGAGCAATCAATGCTTTACCCAATGTCTGCACTCTGTTTCCCCTGTCCAGATCAACACAATTAACAAGACCGAAGACTCTGAACTCCGTCATGTTCCTGATGCTTATCACGATTTAATTGAGGCATTCAATAAGCAGAAGGCTACTAAGCTCCCTCCTCATCGTGATAATGACTGTGCCATTGAGCTGCTACCCGGCACCACGCCCCCTCGTGGTCGCATCTTCCCTCTCTCACAACCTGAAACTGAAGCTATGAAGAGTTACATCTCTGAGGAGCTAGAGAAAGGCTTTATTCGACCATCTACTTCTCCTGCTTCAGCAGGGTTTTTCTTCGTCAAGAAGAAGGATGGCAGCTTACGCCCATGCATTGATTACCAAGGCTTGAATGTGATCACAGTCAAATACCGCTACCCATTGCCATTGGTTCCTGCCGCCCTTGAGCAACTCCGATCCGCCCAGTATTTCACTAAGTTGGACCTCCGTAGTGCATATAACCTCATCCGCATACGACAGGGAGACGAGTGGAAAACCGGGTTCTCTACAATTGATGGCCACTACGAATACCTCGTTATGCCCTTCGGCCTAGCAAACAGTCCTTCCGTGTTCCAGGCATTCGTAAATGAGATATTTAGAGACATGCTCAACAAGTGGGTCATAGTGTATATTGACGACATCCTAGTCTACTCCAATTCGCTATCTGAGCATATCCAGCACGTCCGGGCAGTGCTCAAACGCCTCATTCAACACCAGCTGTATGCAAAGAGCTCCAAGTGCGAATTCCACCAGACCTGCATCTCATTCCTTGGTTACATTATCAGTCCAGAAGGCGTGGCCATGGACCAGCAAAAGGTCGACTCCGTGACACAATGGCCGCAACCCGAAACCATCAGACAAACACAACGATTCCTGGGTTTTGCTAACTTCTACAGGCGCTTCATAAGGAACTTCAGTTCAGTCGCTGCCCCACTGACCGCCATGGTAAAAGCCAACAATGCTCGCCTTAAATGTAACCCAGACGCTGTCCCAGCATTTACCCAGTTAAAGACTCGCTTCTCCAGTGCACCCATTCTGCGTCATCCTGATCCCGAGCAACCCTTTGTAGTCGAAATTGACGCTTC